AGCTCGGGGGGCCGGAGCGGAGAACCAGCTGCTGCCGCCGCCGGGCCCGCAACGGCCTTTCCGTCCCGCGCCTTGTTTGGGAGCTGGGTTTCTGTTTCTCGGGTCCTCGGCTGTGAAGGGGAAACACAACAACAAATAACTCCAAACGTTATGAGGTAAAAGCCGTTCGTACTTGCGAGCTGCCTGGAATTAATGTGAAAAATGGAAGAAACTATTCGAAAGCGCTTAAAACATTCAAGGCTTTCTCTATATTACCTCTTATATCATAGAATTCATATGTATTTTAAAGGAGACTGTGCTGACTTACAGCCCACAGGATATAGAAATGAGATGAAGAAGATTTCCCTAGGAAAATATTTTACGCAGCTGTTGCTCAAAGAGCTGTTTACTTTCATTATATATGTACATGTGTGTTAAAAACTATGAAGAGTTCACTTGAAGAATTCTTGGCAATAAAAAGCAAACTGGTCTAGCTCTTTCCAAAGCAAACTTCCCCCCCCCTCAACCCTGCTGCAAAGAAATGAGCAATCATGTCTTGACCGTTTTTTGCTTCCCCTTAGTTCTCCGGGCAATAGTGTAAAACTCTGCTCTACAACGCGGCCAAACCACGTAACGCCGTGTCACCCACGTAAAACAGAGAATAAGTTAACCGTTGTATAAACCAGGGTCGTCTGAGGATGCTCGGAGCCCTCTTCCCATTTTCTCTTGAAAATAAAAGCCAAAATGAAGCAGATCACAGACAAACAAGCAGATCACCGAAACAAAGGCAGCAAGCAGGACAGAGGAGCCCGAGGAAGCTCGCCTTGCTGCCGCAAACCTGAGCGACCCAAGGAAAACAACAGAAACAAACAGCTTGCGACTGTCTGAAGAGAAACCTGAGGACTGGATTCTGGTACACTGATTTATGTCAGCTCTTAAGTTTCGGCCCACGTAGTTTCAGTGAAGGCAGTGTGATTGCTTGTGAAAACAAGTAGTAAATACAATCCAAATCTGGTCTGATGTTGTTTTTAAGGCAACTTTCAACTCCTGGTATTTTCAGAAGTGTCAGCTTGCTTTGTTTGAAAGTGCAGTTATACTTCTTACCAAGACTAGATGCAAATCTAGCTATAATTAAATATTCACCCGATTTTCTGTCAAAGCATTGTCTTACCAGCATCTGTTCAAGTTGACTTGTCTGATAATTCAAAGGAGAAAACATCTTCATGAAGTTTTTTGTTTTTTCCTGGTTTCAGGTTACTTTGCCTCTGTTTTTAGCACTGTCAACATCAGTTTTTCTCTGTATTGTGTACTTTCCCTCTTTCTCCTTCTCATTCTTTTTTTTTTTTTGAGAAATCGGGATCAGCTTGGCCTAGTAAATAATCCAATAACTGTTGGAAAGCAGTCCAAATTCAAATGAGCAACTAATGAAACTCGGTCTAGTTTACAGACATTCTGAAATATTTTTAATTAGCAGTTCTTTAATTAATATTCCCTGCTATGTTGACACCATTAATTTTCTCCTATGTGACTGAGCTATCTTTATAAAATGAAATCCCATAAATCGGTAACCCATTTTTTTTTAAGCTGAAAAGAAAAATGTAGACGTCTTTCTCACTTTTTTTTGGCAATACTGTAATTCCTTTCCCCAATAGGAGGTAATGACGCCATTGCCCCGAACAGCTGCAACTCTTGTATACACTTCACAACCATAAAAATGTAATCTGAAATAAATTAATCTTTCATAGACACTTTGAAAATCCTGAATCAGGGAAAGCAGGGAAGCTCTTCCAAAGTTTTGAGCTACCCGTTGGACGTCCTAAATCAGTACCAACAAAGAGCTGCTGCTGATTGGGATTGAGATCGTGGGACTGAATCAAGCCTCGATGCAACTGCTTTCTGGACATGTTTTACAGGTGAAGGTCTTTGAGCAGTTCACATAAACTCCCAGGCAGAGTCCAAAAGCATTTATTTCATCAGCAAAAAACTCCAGATTATATGCTTTCTTGATGAACTGTCACAACACACTTTCTTGCTGCACATCTCTTTTTATAGGTGTTTGTGATTTGGGGGAAAAGCTCAGGAACACTCAAAATGCTGGTTTGACCTTTAGTCTCCTCTCAAGATAAGAGTGTTTCAATGAGTGAGATTTCAAAATCTGAATGAGATTTCAAATGACTCTTTGAACGCCCAAAGCAATACCATCACCACAGGGAAAAGACTTGTTTGAAAATAAATGCCAAAGGAGAGAGAACTTCCTATGTCTGCCCTTAGTAGGTACAGGCCCGGAGCACAGAGCATGTTTTAAGAAAAGGAAAAGGTCATCTTCTGGATCTTTTTTGTCTTGTCTAATTACCACGTCTCTACTTCTACTTGCACTGTCTTAGCCCTTCCTTGCTTCCTTCCTTTCTTGCTTGCTTCTTTCCTTCCTTCCTTCCAAACAGGACATGACTGAAGATTTTTGCCTCTGTTCATTTTTCCTACACGATGCCTGGCAACTAACTTCCTGTTTCATTTTGTTTATTGAACAGGTTGTAACGAGAATGAGGCAGATCACCTGGACAGAGACCAGCAGCCTTATCCCCCGTCCCAGAAGACAAAGCGCATGCGCACCTCCTTCAAACACCACCAGCTTCGTACCATGAAGTCCTACTTTGCTATCAACCACAACCCAGATGCCAAGGACCTCAAGCAGCTTGCCCAGAAAACAGGCCTGACCAAGAGAGTTCTGCAGGTAAGAAGCCACATCACAGGCTTGACAGAATTTTCCCCTACCCCTGCCAGTCAATAGTATTTCCCTTACGTGTAACGACAGCAGTATATGTAGAAGTACTTTTGCTAGCTGTGTCCCCAGTGGGTGTGCAGAGGGGTATGGTATTATACAGCAGGAGTGCTGAATGCATGCCCTACCTCCCCAAGGCAGCCAAATACTAAAATGTGATTTGTAATCAGTTGCATCCTCGACATGAGAAAACTGTCTCCAGAGTCTACCAACCCAGTAGATACCCTGGGATCTGTAGCGTCTCTGTGGTGACCTTATTCAGGGTAGAGGTAGCAAATCTACTCATTTTATACACACTGGGTGAAGCCTTTGGGCTCCCCTGAAGCACTTACTGTGGCCCCTCAGTGAGCAGATCCCCCAGTCTGTAGGAAGCAAGCTTTGAACAATATGATCCCACTGGACCAGCCGGCTCCCTCTCTCAATGCCTGTTAGACAACCGTTATCACTAAGGGCCTGTGTGGTAAAAAGTCACGGCCCTGTGAAGGACAGCCTAGCAAATGACATTAGAAAAATCCCGATACGGTGTGTGCTAGCTAAGTGAAGTTCGAGTGAGGTGTGTACTGTATGCAGAGTGCCAAAGAAGGGCAGTGGTTGAGATGGAAGGAGAATCTATTAGCAGCAATTCCTTGTCTGTGTTACTTGTCACCTAAAACATTTTTAGTGAACCTTATAGAACAGAAAGACTAGGTGACCCACATCAACAAAAACCCCCCCCCCCCCCCCCCTTTCTCTTCAGTCTTTTAAAATGATCAAGACAAACTTTCAGCCTTGGCAAAAATCTGCTCTTTCACCTTTCGCCTCAATCATTACCATGTGTCTTGACCCCAAACCCACCCAACCCAGGAGTACACCACATGGCCGTCAAGAAAGTCAATTTCCTTGGGTGAGTGAGGGAGCAGATTTTTCTTAAGGCTGCTCTATGAGGTCTGCACAATGGGCTACAATGCTCCAGTGAGCACCCATAGCACTGGGCTTCATACACAGGCTCCTGCCTGTGAAAGAGTCAGTACAACCAGTAGCAAGTGAAGCTGTAGAGTGACAGCTGATTTGAACACAAAAACAAGCATCCAAAAAATGACTTGAAAGCAAGAACAAAGACAAAAATAAGCAAAACAAAGCAAGCATCGGTAAAGAAATCAATTGGGATTGGTTTGCAGGTTTGGTTTCAAAACGCAAGAGCCAAATTCAGAAGGAACCTTTTGCGGCAGGAGAATGGGGGTGTCGATAAAGCTGATGGCACCTCACTTCCGGCACCGCCCTCAGCAGACAGCGGCGCACTCACTCCACCCGGCACTGCGACCACTTTAACAGACCTGACCAATCCCACTATCACTGTAGTGACATCAGTGACCTCTAACTTGGACAGCCACGAATCCGGGAGCCCGTCACAAACTACCGTAACGAACCTTTTCGAACATTTCAGTTGTTTTTTTTTTTTATTTCTTACTCTTCTTCTTTATTATTATTATTATAATTTTTATTATTTTCAAGCCTTTTTTTTAAAAAAAAAATAACAAACCCACAAAATATTTGGGAAAATAAACAGCTTGATGTGTAGCATCTGCAGCCACTTGGCAAATGAGTTTGAAGTAATATGTTGCTATAATAAATGAACATTTATTGTTGTGAAATTGTATTCAATTTTTAAAAAAATTAATCAAATAACTGAAGAGAAGGTCATGAATCATTCTAATAAGTGCCTCTTAAAATTGTATGTTACTTATTTCCGGAACCTTGAAAAAAATGATTACTACCACAAAAAAAAAAAAAAAATTCTTTTCCCTCCTTGATAACCAGATAAAAATCAGTTTTATAGCCAAAAGAATGCTGCTTCAGGATTGTACGTTCACTTACAGCATTTAAGAACCCTAAATTGCGTTTCATTTTTATAATGCATCTAAAAGTTTTGTATGATTTTTTTTTTAAATGTTGAAAAATAAATACAACATGAATTAAACTAACAATTGGAATAGTCAGACTGCAAGTGCCAGTGCTTTTTTTTGACGCACAGTCACAAGCCTGATCCTCCCTGAGCACTGGGGATTCTCACTGGGATAGCTAAACGCTCCTCTGCCAGTTCCTCACCCAGCTGGGATGTCCGTGGCCACCACTGAAAGCTGTGCCCGGATGGAGGGCCTGGAGAGAGAGACCCAGTGATGAGAGTGCAGGTGGGTGAGGGTGGCAGGAGGGTGGCTGTTGGTGTCCAAATTTGTGTCCCGTACATTAAAGGAGGCAAGATCCGCAAAACACCCTCCAGAATGAGGTCACTCCTATAAAGTTATTATCAAAATAATAACAGCAGAATAACAACTAGAGCGAAGAGTCCTACTGATCTGAAGTATCACATAGGGAGGGCTTTTCATTTTTGTCTGTCAAGCAGATCTGATTTGGAATTGGAAAAAAAATAAGTGCGGTTCGCTGTATGGCCTTGATACCGTACTATTAAAGCAAACAGGAGGTTGCCCGGCTACTTTAGTGAGCACAAAAATAATTTCCAAGAAGACGTATGCATGTGTACCGTTAAAATGAGTTTTTGATAAATCATACTTTTTCATGGAATATGGAAATAAGCAAAATATAATTTATTAAGGTGTTTAAGGAAAATGATTTCAGTAAAATTTATTCATCACTATTTTGAATTTACTTTAGCTGTTTCCTGAGATTGTATCAGACACTTTGTTTAACGCATGAACTTAAAATCTTTAGTTCATTAAGATCTCTAACATATACTTTAACTTTAAAAACTTTGTATAAGAGAAAAAAATGTTAGCAAGGACTCTTACAAAAATGGGAATTGGCAGTGAATAATTTTAAAACTCAGAAGCCTTGTGGATGCTGATCTGAATACATTTCTTAGTTTACAATGGTGGTCTTTCTTTTTTTAATTTTATTTAAGCTAAAAGTCTGAATGGTCTGGGCAGTGGTGAATGTTCATTTGTATCCTTTTATTGTAGTTGAACACCAATTAGATTGTGGAGAGTCTCAGAAATAAAAACAAACAAAAACCAGTCAAGATCTAAGTCTTGCTTTTAGTGGATTGTTAAGAATAACTTTGCACATATACCCCACTTTTTCGACACCATCAAATCTCTTTTTTGGTGGTCAAAGTGGCTATTTAATATATTTTAAAGGTGTCCTTTTTGGCTGTATAAATGTGTGGTTATATATTGACAGTTCACTGCCCACATTAAAGTGCATTATTGTAATTTTTGCTCAGGGTTTTTAGAAAATTAGCACAGAAAAGTAGCTTATTTTTAAAAAAAAGATGATGGAAGAGATGTTAACACTGTAATAGAGGAAAGGTGTGTTTGCCATTATATATTTAGCAAGTATGGTTATCATCTTATATGGATATTAAATCTTGACTTTTCCTATTTCTATTACCTTATGGGCATTTACCACTAACCAGACCAAACAACCTTGGTAAGGCTGAGATCTTTATTAATACACTTTTACAGGTAAAAATATTGATACTTATAAATTTTGTTCTTTGACAGAACAATATATGGTACTAGAGATCTACTTTATTAAGTAGACTAATTAAAACTCAGTTCTACTATGTGCCTTATGATATACCTTGGGAGTAAGTTTGTGAAAAATCAGGATATATGTGTTGTTTGTTAAATTAACTGTTTTAAGCTCTTTTGACACCTCACTAGTTTTGTACTGTTTTACCTCTTATTTCTGAAACTCTTTTTATGGTGTATCCTGTTAGAGGGGACAAACATGTCATAGAAAGCAGTTGTGCACTCTTTCAGATATAGTTGATAAATCCAATAATCTTATATATTGAGCTTCGTGTTTATAGTACAGTAAGTGGTCTAGCAAAATTGTCCATGTTTCTTTGTTTATTGATAAATGCATTGTATAGAAACTATTTCCCCTAAATATTTATGGACCAAACAATTGTGATATATCCTATTAAGTACCAGTGCGTCTCCTTGCTTTCACGGTACCTGTGAACAGCTAGTATTAAACACAGAAACACAGCCTTTTAAATATTTTAAAAGATTGTTTCTTCTTAGGTTTTCAGTTTCTTCATATTCAATGTATATGCTACTGCCAGTGCAATTTAGATTTTAGTTCTTTAACCTCCTTTTCTGAACATGCAAAGTAATGCCCCACTGATTTGATATTGAAACCCTGTCCTAGACTTCTAAAAAAGCCAGAAAACTAGCAGCTAAAGTAATTGCATGAGAAATATAACCTAAATAATATGATGAAATGAATCAAGATTTAATGCTAAATATATTGAACACAAAATAGAATTGCAGACCCCGAAAAGCCAGGTTGCTCTGTAGTTTAATAAATTGTCACTATGATTTCTTTCAGGGAGAACAAATCATGGGGCATTACAGCCAAACATCCCGACGTTTGAAAATTCCCTAAAGTATTAAAAGAAGGGGAAAAGTTTGATCGGAAATCCACTGCAGTGAAGACAAAGACAATATTAGGTTATGATAATCATACATTTAAAAATCTATTGAGCCAAAAAATAAAAATAAAAGACTTGGTGTCATTTCCTGAATGTTAACAAAACATATGTTATTTTATGGTGTCTAATTAACAGAACCGAAGGCTTCAACAAATTGTATGGTATTAAAAAAAAATTTAGAGAAACTATGTATAAAACCAGAGCAACCTGGCAGCAATCTACCTAGCCCATATTTGAAGAAAATTTTTCTTTCAAAAAAATCACATTTGTCAAGCACAAGTACTTGTAAAATAAAATCTGAGTGCATTCATCCCACTTGCTTGCTAATGTGTACTAGTCATACCTGTTAAATGGATTTTTGTAAATTCAAAGAGGACTTTTCACTCGTTTGAGATCATAGGAATCAAAACCCAGTAACTTTAGTACTATTGTTTCTGAATTCTTCTACCCAATGAGACAAATCTGCATGCACTTTTCCATCTGTCACATATAGTGTACATTTCTGTATGATGAATTTATCTTTGATGTTTCTTGTATAATAGCTTTCATTAATAAACATTTTATTTGGTGCAAACATAGTTAACTTTATGTAAAGACATAGCTAATTGTTCAAACTAATTTAAACTTTTCTTTTGAAAAGAAGTACAGTGCAGTTCCAATATGTTATATATATCTAAAATCACAAAGAATGAGGTAGCAATACAGTTGCACAGTGTAAAATTATTTCCTTTGGTGTTCACTTTTTATTTTTTTAGCTTCTTGTATAAAACTGACTTGTTTTAAAAAAATTCCCATCAGCATCAACAATAAAGAAATCCTCAAGTTCTTCCTCAATGTAAGAAAACAGAAGCAGTACAGCATGTAAAATCCTCAATGACTTTTAGAGTACAAGGATATAATTTGTGGATCCCTGAGCTGTTTACATGGTCACTATGCAATGAGCAAGTATGTTACAAAAAAGTTGGTCCTGAGATTCCTGGTCCAAATCACAGATGATTTTTACAAGCCAACAAGCAAGTGTAACAATAATCAATTCTTAGTAATGAGGTTTTGTAACTGTTAAGCAACTATTTGAAGAAGGCTTTTTAAAAATATATTCCTATTTAGCTGTATAGCCAAAGCGTATGTTAAACAAATTAACATATAAAAGACTTGCCAGAAAATCTTTCACTAAAGACGACATTTTTATTATATACTAATGAACCCTATGTAAACAATGTAACTTTTATGAATGATGGACATTAAATATTTCACTTACGTGTATCTTCAGCATTTTGCATGTTTTCTTAAACTTTTTCGGTTTCTGAATTCTAAAAAGAGAACCCTACAATTATTAACAACATCACACAAAGTTACACACAGATTACTGCAGCGATCTCTGGAAACCGGTAACCAAGAGCGTTCTAATGGCAGTAAAAAGGTATCATTTATTGGTGGCAATTATGGGAAGCATTGTTTAAACAACAGTTTTATAGTATGTTGTAAAGTTCTATTGAAAAAGGTTGGCATGGTGGACTTAATTCAAATCAGCTTGATCAGAAATTAAAGTATACTGTGAAATTCTTAAACTGAGCCTTATGCATATTTATTACTCTAGAAAGTAAGTAAATGTAGAAAAGCAATTATTTGTGTCACAGCCATAATGTGGTTTCCCCCTGTTGTCCACAGAAAAATATTACAAACATTAATTATTCAAATCAGTAAAGAATTTGGTGGGTTTTAGGGCCAAGAAAGAAAATATGTACTATAATTTTTCTTTTGTAAATCACTGCATTCTTTAATAAGTTGGACTCTTTCTCCCCTTGAGTTAATACTTACAGATATATTTCTAGTCTAAATTATTGTCTGTGTGCTGCTTTTTTCATCTGATTTAAATTAGAAAAATAAATTAATTAAATACTACTGGTGAAATAGTATCTCCATTTAAGTCAACAGACATATCATCACTGATTGAAGTAAAACCAGGACAATTTCATTTCTCCATGTCTAATTACAGACATTAAGGTTTGACAACACTGTTCTTTGGAGACAGTCCTGCACATAGTGGTCTGATTGACCTGACTAGTTGCATTAGGCAATCCAAATTTTTTGAAAGAACTATCTATCTCCTGCATTAAGCGAGTAAATATGTTGAAAGGGCACCATTATACAAGACAGAAAAGAAAGGAATAATGTCAGACAAGTTTTGAGAGCATGCAAGGCAAATTTAGGTTTTCAGGATTGTTGCAAGTGAGAAATGTATTGGAGGTCTTTCTGGTGGATACCCATCCACGTCTAAGCACAGCATTTCTTTGCACTCCTGGTCTTGAAAAAGAAGTCAGATTGTACGGTTCTAGGACATCTTATTATTCACAAGAGAAATGGCTTGCAGGGCCAGGTCAAACGACAGAAGGCTGACACCACAGCCCACTGAAACTGGTGAATATTCTCTCTGATTCTGTGGGCTTTGAGCCAGGAGCTGAATGAACAAGGAGATTAAATTACTCTCTTGTCTGAAGAAAGCACAGCCTTCAGAATGAGACAGAATACACAGGACAGCC